TGTGCTTGACAAAGGTAAAATTCCCACACACAAAGCAAACGTATTACTCCCGTCTGCAAAACCAACAGAACATGGAGAAATCTTTTCTATTTGCCGAAGAAAAGAAAGATTTCCCGTCATGTGATGGGAAGCTCCTGTGTCAAGAATAACATTACCAAGATCTTTCTTACCAGACAATTTTTCAACACCACCGGTGCCTTGTTTTTCATTGTTTGCTTTCTCATTAATCAACTGCTGCAACATCTTCAATTGGTCTGGCGAAAAATCAGAAAACACGGACTGGTTCGAGGTCATTGCGTGAGCTGTGGTGACTTGCCCTCGACCTCGTCCATTGCCGCGTCCTCTCTGCCCACGCCCAGCACCTCTTCCTTGTCCACGCTCAGCCCACCAATCAGGAAAACCGATAATTTGCCAGCAATCTCGCTTCTCATGACCAGACCGTCCGCAATGAGAACACAACATTGTTCTGTTGTTGAACCTCAAAATCGAATCAGTCTTGTTGCCAACTAGATTGTCTGATTTTCCCAAGTAAGCTACTGGTTCTGTACTTTGATCTCCAGATGATTCCCGACGAGTCACAAAACCAACAGCATCACGTGTCTGTTCACGAGCTCGAGCAGAGGAGAGCCTTTGTTCTTCTCTTATAACTTTGGAATACGCTTCACCAAGAGAAGGTAATGGAGTCATGCCTGTCAGATTCGTACATAGACCACCAAAACGAGCATCGTCAAGACCCAACAAGAACTGATGTACCTTCTCTTTCTCCCTGTCCTTAGCATACACGGACTGTGCTCCACATGAGCATACGGGAAGAGGACAATACACACGCAGTTCATCCCAGAGAGTACACAACCTGCCATAATAATCCAAGACGGACTGCCCATCTTGTCGACATGAAGCAAGCTCCCCCTTAATCTGATGAACACGAACTTCGTTTGCCACAGAGAAACACTCCTTCAAATCTTCCCACAATTGATGAGCGTTTGAGACAAAAGTCACTGTTGACTTAACTTTTGGCTCAATTGAAGAACGGATCCAGCCCACAATCATGGAGTTTACTGACTTCCAATTTTCAAAATTTGGATCACCAACTGGCGGTTGCACAATAGAGCCATTGATGAACCCTAACTTTCGTTTTGCTTGTAGTGCGTTCAACATCTCCTCAGACCACTCGTTGTAATTTTCTCCATTCAACGTAACAGAAGAGATCGACGTTCCCGGATTATCGTTACTCGACAACAGATATGGAAACACCACCACTGCTGCCTGATTTGTAGTAGCGACCTCGCTACCGGAACTTCCTGTGGAGTCTTCTGGTCCTGCCATCACGTTTTTCTTCACAAGAAACTGTCGAAACTATCGACGAAAGAAAACAGGGACATAGACTAAAGAAGAAAAGAAAAAAAAAAAAAAAACAGAGTATCGAAACTTTCGATTTTACGGTGAACAATTTAGAAAGGTCTAAGCTCTGATACCATGTAGAATTGGATACCGAACTGAATTGCTTTATTCCTTGATCATACAACAACTTATATACACATAGCTTTAGGTTAACTCTAGGGTTTACACAAACCGTCATAAACAAGTAACGACCAAAGCCCAATACATCTTAAAACCCATACATATGGCCCAATATTTATCATAACTTTTTGTTTGGTATTTTTCACTATAGATCATAATTTTTTTATTGAAGTCTTTTCAAATACATTTTCATCAACATATGTATCTATTTTCCTACCAAAAAAAACATATGTATCTATTTAGTTATTTACCACTCATGTTTTTTAAAATCTAATTATTTCTGAAAAAACAAACTGTTTCTTAAGAAATAAAAATGTTTCAAAAGATCTTGTTTTTAATCATAATTATTCTTTTTTACATTTTTCTGCATAAAGTTTGTAACAATCTTAAAAAATATATATATGATATAACATAAAAATTTCGTAGAATTTATGTAATATTTCAAATATTTGAATCCATTATCCCAATAATTTATTACATAAACACAATAAAAAAAAAGTTTTGCAAAACAAAACTTTGTTGAAATTGAGTTTGTCCACGGCTTTGCAGGGTTCATCTACTTTATTATAAATTTATAAGAGATATTTTCTTATTTATCTCTAATCCTATTATCTAAATTTTTATTTTTGGATTTTAAATGTATATAAAAAGAAAATTAACAACAAAATTTTACCAAGAAAAAGCACATTTATTTCTAACAAAAATTAAAATTAAAAAACATTTTATTGATACTACAATAATAGTAAAAGCTAAATAATAATTACCTCCTCTCCCACATGGTCATGGACTCATGGGACATATTGCCGAGGGATTCCATTATTTAACATTATTAATACATTGATTTTGAGGAATAAAATAAAAAACTAAACATAAAACAAGACACAAATAATAAGAATGTCTCTAAGAGCACCTCCAAAGGGAGGTTGTCTCAAATTTTTAGATGGGTTCTCTTGATTATTTTGATCAAAATTAATTCAAAACTGAGTAAACAAAAGAGAATCGCTTCTCTTCAGAGAAATTTGAGATTTTCAGAGAACCGCACACGTGTCATTTTTTGGTTGGAGGAAGCATTTTACCAAAAGGAAAAAAAAAACTATCATTATTTTTTGTTCTTTTCTCTCTCTCGACAGAACAAAGATAACGCAGAAGTCTCTCTCGCGATTGCGATCTGATTTTCCGACGAATCGACGCCGTTACCGCGAGTTTCCGATGAATCGACGGCGATTTCGTAGTATGTGAGACTTACCTGCCGCCGGAATCATCAGCTGGATAGACATTTAAGACCATCGGCGAATGGAGTCAAACCGATTCGAAGATTCGCGATGGAGAAGTTTGATTCGTTGAAGGATGGTCCAATATCTTGTTCCAGGTATGAATCTAGCCCCTTTCCTCTGTGTATCGTGACTTGATTTGTTTTATTTTGTGGTTTCCGATCGAAATTAGGGTTTGAAGAAAATTAGGGTTTCGATTTGTAAGTTAGGGTTCTTCGTTTTTAGCGACAATTTGTTGTTTATTAAGCAATTTGGAGGCTTTTTGTTTGTAAATAACCATGATTGTTGACGAATTTGTCATAGATTGTTAGAGTTAGGGTTCATAGTTTCGGGAAAAAGAATGATTGTTTTTTTGTCATTTAAATCGAATTGGAGGCTCTGTTTTACTTATTAGGCATGATTGAGCAAAAAACTGTAAATATATTGTTTGATTTTGGTAGATAATTTCGGATTTTGCACACTTAGTTTGAGAATCATGAAGCATTCTCGGATTTTGCTTGATTTGAGTATTCATACATTAAATTTGATATCTTTATCTCTGTTTTGAATCATTAAAATCAGTCTATTAGTGTATATATCTGTTAAGTTTCATTAGATACATTTGTGAGTTGATTATTATTGTCTTTGCTAATTGTTTTTTCTTTCTCTCTGTTTTTGTTGAGTTTCAATGGGAACACTGAAAGTTTAGAAGGCTATTGGAGAAGGTAAGTGGAGATGGGAAGGATCATGTGATCGTTAAGGATAAACTGCAAAAGCAGTAGGCTTATGAGATTTGATTAAAGGTAAATGTTCCTTATTTAGTTATTGCAATTATTGTTTGTTTGATAGCATGCATTTTCTGATAAATGCTTGAGTTGATTGTGTATAGTGTTAAGTAGAGAGTAAGTAAACTTAACATCATAGTTATTGTTTGTGTGTGATAAATGTTTGAATGCTTTAACATCATAGAGAGAAACTGAACATCATAGTTGCATAAATGCTTTGTGTCTTTAGTTTCTTTACCATCCAATTGATTGGTTTGTATGTAATAAATTCTTAGTTGGTTTAGATTAGGTAAAGACTTTAGTTTCTTTAGTGTAATTGATTGCTAACACTAAAGGCACCTTCACCTTCTTTAAATTGCTAACATTAACACAAACCACAAACCCAAAATTGATTCTGCTTCTCTTCCTTCTCCTTTAACCACAAACCTCAAACCACTTCAGTATTCTCTTCTTGAAACCTATAACCACAAACCACAACATTTTGGAAAGGCCAGTATACGCGTGGCTCTGGTAAACCAACCGTCGTTTTAGAGGCGGTCGCATCACAAGATCTCTGGATATGGCACGAGTTTTTTGGACCTCCAGGTACCTTAAACAATATCAATATTCTTGATCGATCACCCGTTTTTGATGATATTTTACAAGGCCAAGCTCCGAATGTGAATTACGCAGTCAACGAACGGGATTATCATCTAGCATACTATCTCACAGATGGTATTTATCCGAAATGGGCGACTTTTATCCAATCTATCCGACTACCACAAACTCGGAAAGCCACTTTATTTGCTACAAAACTAGAAGCAGTCCGTAAAGATGTCGAGCGTGCATTTGGAGTATTGCAAGCTCGGTTTCACATTATTAAAAACCCAGCTCTTGTTTGGGATAAGGAAAAAATAGGAAAGATAATGAGAGCATGTATCATACTGCACAATATGATAGTAGAGGACGAGAGAGATGGTTACACTCAGTTTGATGTTTTGGAATTCACACAAGATGAAGCAAACCAAACTTCTCAAGTCGATTTAGCGTATTCTACAGCTATGCCTACAAATCTCGCGAATATAATGGGCAGACGAAATCAAGTTCGTGATCGTGATATGCATCAACAATTGAAAGCTGACTTGGTTGAGCATATCTGGCGAAACTTTCGCAACAATCGAGAGTAAAACTAATCGTTATTCCAATTTTTTTTTGCATATCTTTTTAAAAATGTTTGAAATAATGTATGTTTAATATTTTTATAAATTGTAATAATTATTAAGTTTTATGAAATAATATTTTTAATAATTTTATTTTTTCTTAAGAGAACCTCACTAGAAAACTTACCATTGGAGTATGAAAAATTAAAAAAAAAAAAACAAAAGTTCTCATCTCAAATTTTCAACAAATTTATTATTAAAAATTTGAGAGAGCTCCATGGAGACAACTCCCCATTGGAGATGCTCTAACGGTTCAAGTGCACTGGAATGCTCTGCTCGTACCGGAAAAAGTTGTCGGGATTAACTCTAGTCTTAACCTGAACCAACCTCTCGAAGTTATTCATAAAATACTTAACTCCATACACTTTTACCTTCCTCGTACGTCGAATTCAAGTTCTTCCCAATGTCAACGTCTCTATAGTTCAAAAACGCTTCTCTTGGATTCTTAGACACGTAAGGGCTCATTGCCTTGAACACTCTTTCCGTCTGGCTCAAGCAATCGCTAGCCGCTTCTTCACCTGGCACGAACCAGTTAGATGAGTACTGAATCTTGAACATGTTCCCTGCACGGTGAGGAAACGCTGTTTCTGTCGATGGCTTACTCCTCCTCGGTTTCCAACCGTTTCAACGTTAAATATTGGGAGAACCGGAGATCGACCGAGATCGACGATCGAGACTGTAACTTTCTCCGGCACCGGAACAAGTTTGATCTTCCAGGCTAAGACAACACAGAAACTAGCGGCTCCACCGCCTCGTATGGCCCAGAAAAGATCTTCTCCCATTGAGCTCCGGTCCAATACTCTTGCGTTAGCATCAACAGTCTTAGCGTCTATATTGTTATCAATAGATAAACCGTATTTCCTCATCATGTTTCCGTAACCTCCACCGCTAAAATGCCCACGAGCACCGAGACCGGGGCAGATTCCTGCAGGGAACCCTCGGAGGTTGTTGCTTTTGTTGGCAACGTTGTAGTAGATCTCTCCTAGGGTGGCACCCGATTGGACACACGCGGTATCCAGTTTAGGATCAATCTCGATTGAACGTAGATTAAACATGTCGAGGACGACGAAATCGACGGTGGATAAATAAGACATTCCATCGTAGTCGTGTCCTCCACTACGGATTCGAAGCTGGAGGCCAAGTTTTTTGGCGCAGTTTATTGTAGCTTGGATATGAGTGAAGTGAGCCGCAGCCACGATCGCCACCGGTTTACGTGTAATACCGTTGAAGTAACGGAGGTTACGGACGTAGTTGTTGAGAATGATGAGGAAGTTAGGGTTTTCTTGCGTGTATGTGAAGTTTTGGATTGGGAACTTTGGGTCGGAAGGTTTGAAAGTGGTGAGACATTGTGTGAAACTGTCTTCGAGTTTTGGTGGTGCTGCGAATGATGTTGGAATTATAAGGAGAAAAAATGTGACGATTATGGTTTGAGTTGTTGAAGATTTCATTTTTCTTTCCTTGGAGAAGATAATGGTTTTAGTTTTTGATGGATTGGAGAGGGGTTTGGATTATTTATAAATTGTATTTGTTTGTCTTAAACAAATAGATAGATAGTGGGAAAAAAGAAGAAGATAGATTGCTCTTCTTGTGAACGTATATTTTTGGTAGACTGAAATCTAAAAAGTAGTCAATAATACTATAATAGGTAGGTAGTTGAAATTTTTATTGTTAAAATATAGCGTTCATAATTAGATGCTAAATTTTTTAAAATTAGATGCTAAAATCTTGTTAATTAGATGCTAAAATAATAATAAAAAATTAGATTCTAATTTTTTTTGGAATCAACTTATCGGATCTATTTTTAAACTTTACTATATACCCCATCCGTTTCAAAATATAAGACGTTTTGATATTTTATTTTTGTGTCAAAATATAAGACGTTTTGTCATCCCGATATAAAATAATAAAAAAAATTCAAAAGTAATTATATGTTTTTAGTAAATACATGTAATATAACATGTTTTTTGCTTTAATGCTTTAAAAAGAAAAAAATACTTAAATTAAATATATAGTTTTCATTAAGTTGCGTGCAAAACCTCAAAACGTCTTACATTTTGAAATGAAGGGAATGCATAAAAGTACGAATTTAAAAATGGCACTCTTGAAACTTGAAACCTAAATATATTTATTTCAGACCCAAAAAATGAAGAATTAATTTCTAAATTTCACTACAAGAAATATCTACATTATTAGCAAGAGAGAAGAGCTATTATATGTCATCAATAACGTTTTCATAAACGCTGTCTTATGCGCCTGTTATGGTAGACCCCCACTTACGATAGCGTTTTTTGAATGCTATGATAGACCCCCACATACGATAGCATTTTCATATTATAGCATTAATCGAATGCTATAATATACTTTATTATAACACACGTTTAATGCTGTTTTATATTATGTCGTAACATTTTTTTCGTTATATAAATTTAATTTATTTTATAAAATAAATTTTATATTGGAATCCAATTATTTAAAATTTATTTAATTGGACCTATATATAAAACTTTTATATTTTATTAATCATCAACAAGTAATATTACATTAACCAATTAGCCAAACAAGTCTTACATAACATCACACCAAGTCTTATACTAACATCATAAGTGTTAAACAAAATAGAACCAACTAACATCATAAGGACATAGACAAACTTCGATCTCTTCAATTTCTTCTCCTCTATCTATTTCGCCTCCTCATCAACAGCAAAACACATAAAACTTCAATCTGAACAATTGTTCCTATTAGCACTCCCGTCTAGGCTACATGAAACAAAAGAACAAGGGGACAAAAGACACCATCTTAGAACTCTTATTCACTAAGATGAAAAAAGAATCGACACATGGGAATACATCTACCAAACATACACATATGTAAACTACGTACTTGGTTAGCTTGGACATAATCATGATAGCCTTGGAATTAAGCTAATATAGAGTTTAAAACTTGAAGAAACGTCTTACCACTTAAGCTCCTGCAACCACATGCAAGCTCCTTCTCCGAAACAATTTATTCTGCAAAACCAAAAACCAATTTAATAAATCGAGAAGAAGGTTGATTTGCAGATGAGAAGAGTAAGTGTCTTAGTAAGTATCACCAACAAACAATTTATTCTTAGAAAATTAGCTTAATAAAGTCAAGAATCAGAATATACTACAATAAAAATACACATTACAGTCCCAATAGAATATATATACAGAAGAATAAAAAAAGTGAGATTAAGAACATACATACCCATTCCAAATATGGCCCAGGATAACAGCAACAAGCTGCAATTTCGGAAAAAACGTTACTCAAGATTAAGAACTAGAAAAAGAAGATAAAATCAAGTGTAGAGGCCTATATAAGTGTGTAATGTAGAAAATGCACATTTGCCATTTTCCAAACGGACATGAAACTGGACAAATTAAACTTAGTCGAACCTGAAGACTGTTAGAGGCCTGATTCTAGCTCCCGATTATATTTCTCATCTTCATCCAACTGAAAAGTAAAACAATCAGTTGCTAAACAGATTCAAGCTCAGAATGAAACATCAAAATATGAAAAAGATAAAGTGAAAATTACCTCAAGGTCATCAAGCTCAAGCTGGTCTAATCTCTCAGCCTCTAATCTAACCCTATCAGAATATCTGCCATGTACAAACAATAATGAGAGAGGAAGCCTTGGCTTTTTAATCAAATGCTTAAAATGGTATACTATTGAAGAGAAACAGAACATTTCTATTACCTCATGTATAATTCCATGAGCCGGTCAATCTTCTCAAATTCATTCTCCACAAATTTACTCAACAATCGATCTCTCCTAGAACCCCTTAAAATCCCAGCTGAGAGATACAACCAACCGCCAAAAAACCAAAGAATTAACATCCAGAACATGCAAGGAAAACATAGTTTACTTTTACATAAAACATATGACTTGCCTTCTTACCAAATAATGACGCAATCAGGGAAATAACCCGCTCCTCTAGCTCCTCCTCATACCGCTCCCTTTTGATCCTCTTGCTTAGCGGAATCTAAACATTCAAAGAACTAGACAAAATCAATATGCAAGTATGCCTCAGAATCGCCTCTTTCACATTACTTTGATCTACTACGCAAGCATTTTCTAATAAAAGATACAGACTTCAATACCCAATAAGCCACTAGAGAGTTTATAAAGATGGTAAGAGGGAACGGGATTGAAAAACTTGCCTTACCCATGAAAGCAGCAAATGCTGTCTTCAGTCCCATAACATCCACAAAACTCTGACATGCTGGTGGATAATTGGTCATGGCAAAGTCTAGAGCTCGAATTGCAGACCCGTAAGCATATTTCTTCTGCTTCATGATTATAATCATCAGCTCAACACCTTCTGCATTCACAAACCTCTCCTTGTTCTCCAATGGCATCAAGAGGCAACACAAACAATCAAATAAATTATCTAACATCTCTTCCTTATCAGGAGTTTTAGGATCCTTCGACTTATTCATCGCCACACCTTCAAGCACAGCGTCTACACCATTCATCTGACCTAGCCGTTTCTGATTCGCCGTGCTGTTTTGCAACAGAATTGCAAGAATCTCAGACGCATACTTCTTGATTCCTTCAAATTCCCTCACCTTAATCTTCGTCAGAAGCCAAACGCGATCCAAATTCACCATAATCCAAATCCCAAACTCCACTCACTGTTCAAATCCGAGAACCCCAAGCCTGAAATCTCAATCTCAGACGCGAGCCCACCACACAGAACTGTCAATCCACGAGGAGAATCAGCGACGACATCGGCGGCTAGGGTTTTGAGATGAGAGGAGACGATTCTTCTCCACATGGTGATGGTGACGAATGGAGGCCGGCGAAGAGTTTCGTGGAGTGTATAGATCTAGGTTTTTTTTTTTTGTCGTACAAAGAAGGGTAACTTTTTTTGACTTTGGTATATATGATGGCACTAAAAAATTTTAGATCTGAGATACTCGTATATGGTTCTTAAATGGATTTTTTTCTTAAGTATTGACAGAATAAGTGATTTTCGTTTCCCGTATAGTGATTTTTTATCTTAACGTTATTTCAGTGTTATTATATAGTAATCAAAATAAAACATTCACCTTTCATAACATTTACGAAAAATGAGTTATCTTTATGTGCTATCAATGTGGATATTTCTTGTAGTGTTTGTTTCCCTAATTTTTTTGTACTGATTTTTTTACCATCAAATTCCAGTGATCCTATCTTTTCTTAAATGGTGATTGCATATATATTGCAAATGAATTCTTTCTTGATCATATTAGTTGGCGACAAAAAATATATAATTCATCATGCAAATTGAAAAATATTGGCATATAATGAAAAGCAAAATTCTCAAAGATGGCAGTAGCATCCTCGAAAAGTCGAAATGAGAAACAAATGGTTTATACCATTCAAACAAATTCAATAATATACCTCATTAGGTTTTACGTATTGAAGATTTGTAATGAGTATAGTTTGGTTGAGACCTCAAGATAATGTAGAAATTGGAGAAGGTGTTTTCTTGTTCAATACAAAGGTTTGTACAATGTGGACTTTAGAGAAATCTAAACTATATTATAAGACTCTTAGGATTTATATTCAGAGCCCGCCCTAAATAGAACTATAGAAGCTACACAAGCATGTGTTTGTGGCCTTTGTTGTGTTAATATTAAATTTAGAGGGCATTAATTTATGAAAAATTCCAATATCTCTACTGTTAAAGACTCGTTTAAGTGAAAAAGAGGTGGTGGGTTCAAATTGGAATTCATACCTCAAAGATATTATGGAGAAATTAAATGAATAGATATACAAAGAGTCATTGACACATCACATACCAACTAATCGATGGGTTTCATTATTAACTTGCTTGTATTTTCAATTTGCTCTTATGAAGGCCAAGTATTAATTCGTCACTACATGCGACAAATGGTACAAATTAAAAGCAAATATTATCTAATTTAGATATATGTACATCTCCGAAATTTTATTTATCAGGAAAGGCCAGCAAATTAGTCTTTAATGTGCTAAATGTCGTCACACTTTTATACTTCTAGAATTTAAAGCACTGAGGCTTAAACTACGTCTTTAATTCTTCCTACCAAATGTTAAAACACGTGACAAACCAACATTATGTAAACTTTGTCTTTGTGCGGGTATTTATTTTCATATTCTTATCATCTATATGGATTCTTTTATCAGTTTCTGTCAACGATAAGGATGTTATACCAAACTCGATCTATTATTACCTACATATGCTATTTTTTGAAGAATGTAAATTACTTCATTACATATATATAGTTTATGCTATTAAATAAAAGATATGTGGTCTACCATCTAAGACGTATGTGTTTCGATACAAAATTGTAACCATAAGAAGAAAAAAAAATATATAGATAAGTGGTTGCACACTTGCACCATCAAGTCACCATGCCAACTAACTAAAAGTCTCACCTAAAATCCTCTTTAATGTATTATCTTTGTTCATTTGGTTTTACGATTAAAAAACAACAACAATTCATTTGTAAGACATAAGCAAAATGGCTATCGGAGGATTGGCTCTTGATGTCTCCGGCGCCGGAAAAATAGATGCCAAGATCACAACCGCAGTTGTCATGAGTTGCATTGTGGCTGCCTCATGTGGTCTCATTTTTGGCTACGATATCGGAATATCAGGTTACAAATTCAAGCACAGAAAAGGATCATTTCATAAACCACGTTTTTAAATAAAAATAAAAAATTAAACTATATTAACTAATTTATCTTTGATTTTAATTTAATAAAGGGGGTGTGACAACAATGAAGCCGTTTCTTGAGAAATTCTTTCCATCGGTTCTTAAAAAAGCTTCGGAAGCTAAGACGAATGTGTACTGCGTCTACGACAGCCAACTTCTTACGGCCTTCACATCTAGCCTTTATGTTGCCGGCTTAGTCGCTTCCTTAGTGGCTAGCCGTCTCACAGCGGCTTATGGTCGCCGCACCACCATGATCCTTGGCGGTTTCACTTTCCTCTTTGGTGCCCTGATCAATGGCTTAGCTGCCAACATCGCCATGCTTATCTCCGGTCGGATTTTGTTAGGATTTGGTGTTGGCTTCACAAACCAGGTAGCTATAGTTCCAATTTCACTGAAGTCCATAGTATATTTTTGTTTGTTTGAGTGTTAATATATAGTTAAGTTGTTCTTTCTTATATATTTTTGGTTTTATCACTTTTATAAAACCTGAAACCAATACACAATTATGTATAACTCGTTAGGTTTGATAAAATTACGGTTTTAGATTCGACTTTGTAACAAGTTTAAATAAAAAACAGAAACAGTTTTAGTTCGCGTTTTAGTTTAGTTTAGTTTTTAAACAAAATTTACCTCGGTTTGAACGGTTTCGGTATAAACATTGTTGTTTAATTCGTTAGCATATCTATCACATTTAATAAAAATAAATATGGAGCAACTTACTTTTTTTATTAAATGTGAACACTCTAGGCAGCTCCGGTGTATTTATCGGAAGTAGCACCACCGCGATGGCGTGGAGCATTTAACTCCGGCTTTCAATTCTTCATCGGTGTCGGAGTAGTAGCAGCCAATCTAATAAACTACGGTACGGACAGCCACCGTAACGGCTGGCGTATCTCTTTAGGTCTAGCTGCTGTACCAGCCGCGATCATGACCGTGGGATGTCTATTCATTTCCGATACACCTTCTAGCCTCTTGGCGCGTGGGAAACACGATCAAGCTCACACGTCGCTGCTTAAGCTACGTGGCGTCGAAAACATAGCTGACGTGGAAATTGAGCTAGCAGAGTTGTCTAGATCAAGCCAACTAGCCATTGAGGCTAGAGCCGAACCGTTTATGAAGACGATATTGGAGAGACGGTATAGGCCTCATCTTGCGGTTGCTGTGGCGATACCATGTTTTCAACAGTTAACCGGGATCACGGTTAATGCGTTCTATGCGCCGGTTCTGTTTCGATCGGTTGGGTTTGGTTCTGGTCCGGCTCTTATTGCGACGTTGATACTCGGGTTGGTTAATCTTGGTTCGCTTCTTGTCTCAACCATGGTTATTGACCGGTTTGGTAGACGGTTTTTGTTCATTGCTGGTGGTATTCAGATGTTTCTCTGCCAGGTACGTTCTAATTAAGGTACAGATTATTTATGCTTACGCATATGGTTGTGATTTATGAATACAATTTAAACGCAAATTTTGTTACGTATACAATATAGTAATTATTTTCCACAACATATATGATAAACACAATTATCTATCATAAATATTTTTTTGATAATAAAAATTGGCTTTGCATGGAAATTATTTATGAGCAATTAATCTTCTCCTCTTTCAATAATTTTTTTTTCTTCATCTATTTAACCTAATTTAGACTAAAATCACAAATGTTTCTAAATTGAAAGTATTTTTAGTAATGTTTTGCTTTAATTGCAGTCTCTTAATTATACTAAAAGATTAAGAGAGAAAGAAAAAAAACATTACGTGATTGGGCCAAATATGCCAAATATTGATAACTAGGTCTTGTGTACAGATTGCAGTGGCTGTGTTACTAGCGGTGACAGTGGGAGCCAACGGGGACGGAGAGATGAAGAAGGGTTACGCCGTGACGGTGGTGGTGTTACTTTGCATATACTCGGCTGGGTTTGGATGGTCGTGGGGGCCATTGAGCTGGCTTGTCCCGAGTGAGATATACCCACTCAAGATGCGACCGGCTGGTCAAAGCTTAAGCGTCGCCGTGAACTTCGCCGCAACGTTCGCTCTCTCTCAGACGTTCTTAGCAACGCTCTGCGATTTCAAGTACGGTGCGTTCTTGTTTTATGGCGGTTGGATCTTTAGTATGACGGTGTTCGTCATCATGTTCTTGCCGGAGACCAAAGGGATCCCTGTGGATTCTATGTATCAAGTTTGGGAGAAGCATTGGTATTGGCAACGGTTCACTAAACGGACGTCAATATGAAAGATACAATATTGCTATGGTTTACATTTTCCATGGATTATGTTTATTAGTTAGGATTAAAAGGATATATGACATGTTAGATATATCAAATTAGTATAGTTATGTATTTTGACCGGAATCTTTATATAATGTTGTGTAATCTTGTGATTTTATGGCTATGATAATGTATATTGCTTATGTTATACTAGATATGTATCCGTGCGTTGCACGGTTACCGGTCGAAATTGTCATTTTAATTTTTATTTTTGTAAGCTTAACTAAAATTATATTAAAATATGTTTTAATTTTAAAAAATATAGTATTTTAATTATTTTTAAATATAGATTAATTATGCAAAATGTGCAATATAAAAATACTATTTGTAGTTTTGTTTATTATATGTTATAGTATGATATTTTATATATGTGTATTATTGAATTTTAATAAATTATCTACATCCATTGGAAGAGTGTATAACACTTTCTAATTTCAATGTGGGCTAGATAGAAAACAAATTGTGACAATAAGAAAAAATAAAATTAGATAGTTACGTAAACATATAAACAATATATACATATTATATATATATATATATATATATATATATATATGGTCTGAGTTACGTAAACATATTAATTTTTTTAAAAAAGCTTGGCATCATAATAAAATTGTGACAATATGAAAAAAAGAAAAATATGAGACAGTCTATAACCACATCATGTAACTTTACTTGATAATATGAGAAATCTTCGAAACAAAAAGACAAATTCATAAGGAATTAAAGAATATGCACTAAATAACCTAAGACTAAAAAAGAATTAAGAAAATAATATTAACTAAACAATGTCTATTTGCTATATGGGTTTTTTCAATTTTTGGCCCATATTACTCATGAGTTCTTCGTTGTCTTTTTTTTTTTTCTTTCCTCTCGCCGGCGAGAAGTCTCAAACCTCTTTTTTTCTCTCATTAGATTTCTCTTATTTTTGCTCGATCTCCTCTTTCTTTTTC